CAGCTAATACAAATCCGATTGAAGTTTAGCAAAATATAGACTACCACAAGTAAATAAAACATCTTTAAACCAACACTACTATTAACAAGGAATTTCAGTACGGCATGGGTAGTATGACTCTGTTAGTACACGGCTGCTTGTTCATAGGTCATTTACTCATTTAGGATTCCAGGGATAATTTTGGTAGGGATGTGCCCTGTCAGATCACTCCATCTACCCCATGTCTACTGTCTATGACACCATTTTAAGAAAAATAACCTGATCGTACAACATGTCTTGGAGAATGCTGGGTGTGCTATTATCATGACATACCTTTGAAGTCTGGCATCATCAGAACCAAGAGCATCCTTCAATCCAGCATAGCCATTTCCCAGGCGAAATGCGGAAATTCCGGGCTGGTTATGACGAATTAGAGCTGCAAAATAATTGTACGGAGTTTTGTTAGCATGACCAACAGAAAATACACTGAAAATTAACTGCACAGTTCGCACGGTTCAATCAAAGGATTATACTCCACATGATACTGAGTGATACTTACAAGATATGGCTCCTAAAGCTTTTGTGCGTGCATTTGTACTTGGGTCTGATTTGAAGTTCGTCAACAGTGGCTCGAGTCCATTGGATTCCATGACAAGTTGCTGACTCTTGGGATTATTCTGCACAATTGTACTAACAACTTCTGCTGCCTTTGCTCGGATGCCAGCATTTGAATTTTTCAAGTAACCAAGCAGAGGATCCAGCCCACCAATAGAATGTAGATCTGTTTGAATAATGTATATGCATTAGGAGTTGGGACTTCCACAATAACCACTCGGACAAGCATTTACAAGGAAGTGATGATTAACTATGTATCTTACCATTTGCCATGTCAATGGATTCAACGTGCTCCTGTAGCTCATCCAACATATCTGAAAATAGAGTGAGTAATTTTTTATTCAAGAGCCAACACCTATAACTTAATAATAAGGATGATAAATATCAATGTCCATAAAGTCAAATTTCAAGGAGGATACACAACCAAGTAAGATTGGAAACTTCGTTTAGCAATTAGCAGGCAAGTGACAGCACATGAACACCATCAATCATGAATTCCCATATGACCATGACCATGAACTATGAATTTCTTTTGCAAATGAAACATGATACTGCTAAGGCCCTCCAATGTTAAATCATTTGGCAGATCAATTAACAGCCTAGACCATTACAATCACACGGTTTCTTTGTTTATTGTGTTTCCACACCCTGCTGCACATAATAAGTGTCGCGTGCATGCTGATGCGTTAAATACCCTCATGTTCCTTTGGCAGATCAATTAACAGCCTAGACCATTATAATCACACGGTTTCTTTGTTTATTGTGTTTCCAAACCATGCTACCACACCCTGCTGCACATAATAAGTGTTGTGTGCATGCTCATGCGTTAAATACCCTCCTGTTCCTAGTCCAACTATAAGTGTGAGGATCTTCACCAATTACTAAACATATCAGCAATAAAGGTCAATGATTTAAAAATGAGCCATTTTTGTAGAGAAACTAAAAATCAACTAAGGAAGCATTGGAATGCCCAAACAATACCTTCAATGTTCTCTGGGGTCACACCCTGAGACTGCAAGACATCTTCTGGAGTTTTCATCACCTGAGTGATCTCCTTCATCCTCTTCACAACATCTATCGTGTTGGCTTGCATAGCCTCCATGAACCATTTTCTGTCTTCCTCGCTGCAGAACCAAATCAATGAAATTAAGAACCACACTAACAATTTATCCCACTTCTCTTCAATTAAGTGCAGCAATTTTGGAAACAGGTATTAAACCTACTAGCCACACAAATTAGGGGGAAAGAAAAGGAACCCGTGGTAAGAAAGCAAATTTGAGCATATGAAGCCTGTCCGCTAAGAATCTAGTGTACAGGGAGTAAGACAGCAAAATCTAAGCATATGAACTGATGAACACGGAGTCAATAGGGTTGCGACACAGGACGAGAGCAAAGGGAGGAAGCAGGGGATCTGAACGCGGGGGTCGCAGACCTGAGAGCACGCGGCGGCTTGGTGCCGTCTCCGTGGGCGATGCTCCACTTGAACAGGCCGTTCCAGTCGGGGCCCCCATCCTTCGCCATCCCCCTTGTTCTTCTTCTGCAGCTGGTGCTGCGAGATGAGGCCTCACGATAGGTGCGGATTACTTCAGGCTAGATCGATAGGGTTCTTGGCTTCTCTCGCTGCAAAGCTCTCTTGTCTGCTTTTATGCGGGGAGGTGGCAGTGGAGGGAGACGAGACTCGGAGGGAGACCGGGGCTCCCCGTCGTCAGTCGTGGCGTCGTGTGGATGCGGCGGCAGGTTCCGGAGTACTCCCGAACCTGCGGTTTGTGTGGCCGGCGGCGTCCCCTCCTGGACGTCCGTGGGCCATGAACTTGACTTCAGGGGCCCATTTCCACCGGGCTTCGGGTCTATTAAGGCCCACTGAAGTGTTTACGAATCTTTTACATTCTATAAAACATTTTTGTTCGTTTTCAAAACGACGCAACAAAAGATTTGCAGAAATACGCTCCTCTTGAAATGACAATTATAATCGTGAGATTTAAATTCCATCATTTCAATCCGTAATTTTTCATTTCGCCTTTTCAAAATAGCAAGTTTTTTTTTTATTTTTTTCATCACTTTTCCTACATTTTAGGTGCCTGAATTTTAAGATAATTTCAGGCAACACACGTTTGTCACCGACTAGGACAAGTAAATTGTTATTTTTTTAATTTGTTATTTGTCTTTGTGTCATAAGTCAAAGTTTTAAATAGCGCGCTATAGTGGATGCTATAGCGCTATTTAGCGGATCTGGAACACCAACGCTAAGCTACCAGGATTTTAACGCTAAACGATTTTTCCCGCTATTAGCCGCTAATAAATTGGGCTTTCATTTCCAGACCCAATTAACGCAGTGCAGCCCAAATCATTTGGGATATGAAGTCGTCCCTGCATAACCCTAGCCATTCGACCTTTGTATGAACTTTGAATTCACGTATGTCCCTATGTGATGTATGATGTATCATTTATGAAACGAACTTTGATGATAAGACTTTGAAATTGGTATTTGTAATGTTTTCATCTTCTATATCTTTATTATGTGTAAAATTATATGATGTTTTTATATTTTTTTAAATATTAGCCCGCTATTTTTGCTATAGCGCGTTCTTAGCCTTTTGGAGAGGCTGCCGCTAAGAGACTTAGCCCGCTATTTAAAACATTGGTCATAACATATTAAATGACAAGTAAATTGTTATTTTTTTAATTTGTTATTTGTCTTTGTGTCATAACATATTAAATTTTTGTGTCATACATAAACAAGCAAGGTTTTAAAAAAGAGAAAGAATGTGAACTTTATGGGAATAAAAATTCCCTTGGCTCGGTTTCTAACTTTAGATGAGTAATAAATTAATTTATATGAAACCAAAAAAATGAAGTTATACAATGAGATATATTGATTCGATTTTACATTTTTAAAGATGGTGTTAAAAACTTCCACCGGTGAGATGGACTGAAAATGGTGAAATCGACTTTGTCGAGCACGTCGTACCGCACCGCACGGATCTCGCTCCTCGTGAATACTACGATGAGGAGGAGGGGAATTTTAATGCATGTCTATCTTGATACCAAAGGTCAGTAGTTAGCTAGCTAAAAATTTAGTGGCTATTTAGATTTTTTGCCTAAATTTTATTTGGTTAATATTATTAAGGACTAAGTTTTGGTTACTTCAGACAACATTTAGATCTTCCATTTATATTAGAGTCTAAAGTTTAATGGCTAAATCACTATAGGGTCAAGCAGAGCCTTGGTTAAAATTAACTCTAATCCATCTAGATAAGGGGCAATAGATAGACTATTTGTTAGACAAGACTTCGACTAACTGTAGCAAACTACTCCAGTAACTAGCTACCTCATCTAATCTGGACTGATTTTTAACGTCATCTAATTTTGACCCAATATTTAGTTAAATTTAAAAGAAAATGACTCATGGATAATTATCGATAAGCAAGATGTGCATTCATTTTGAGAGGGCAAGGGAGTAACTAAGAGGCGGGGAGAACGAAGAGAGTAACTAAGAGGGAGGATCAAGAGAGTAACTAAAAGCGCGTTTGGTTCCGTTGCCACCTTGCTTCACCTTATCTGGCTGGGCAAGGCAAGCCTTGCCAGGCTGAGCGAGCCAGATTGGCTAGCCTAGGCTAGCAACGATTTTCTTGCCAGCATAGCGCCTTGATGTAACTGGCTAAACGACCAAAACACACAGCACTGCTGTACAGCTTCGAGACTACACAGTAAATATCAAACTTTCCAAACGTCCCCGAACTACCTCGATCATCTAATCTGAACTGATTTTTAACCTTATCTAATTTTAACCCAATTAGTAACTGGCCCTGGCAGCTGATCCAAACATACCTAAAACATATACACTCAAACCGCTCGTTGCGATCCAAACATTTCTTAATCTGCTCTTTCTTCCTGCAACGAATCGCCCAGTGTGGAACGGGCACACAAATAAACGCGGTGACCCTGATCACACCGCAGACATAGAGGCATCGATCCCGTCGGCGAAACAACTTCCAGCCAAGAGAAAAAGATTCATCAGAAACGGACGCGGAGTAAAACAAGGCACATTTGTCCACCCTCACAGAGAACATTCACAACATATGCTGGTACACACGTCCGTACTGACGTTCACAGGTTCCAGACTTTTGAGGCCCTTTTGGACCTCCATCGATCTCCTACCGCTACTTCTGTCAATCTCTAGCTAACTGCAATAACACGCACGCACGCACGCACACAGGCATCAGAGCAGCAAACGGCAGCACATCCATCTTCTCCAAAAAGACCCCAAAAAAGAACTACGTCTATGTCTACGTAGACATACTATACAACTATTCTACCACCAGCTACCTATCGCCGGCCGGTGCCCGGAGGACCACATGGCCGCCCGCCAGTGCCGCGTGAGCACGTACGCGTGGCGTGCAGCCTTATCACGCACAGCTTGAGGCCGCCTGCCTCCGCCGCGGCGCGAGCACGAACAGGGACTCGAGGTCCGGCGGCTGGAAGTACCCGACCTTGGGCGGGTCCCGGCGCCTGCCGCCGCCGCTCCCTCCGGCCGCCTCCGCTATCGCGACGGCCTTCTTCCTCGGCGGCGCCGCCGGGCACGGTGGCACCACCGGGATGCGGCAGTCCTCGCGCCTCGGCGTCTGCCACCCCTCCTCCTCCCCCGCCACGACCACCATCATCTCTTCGCCGTGCTCCACCTCCATCTCTCTCTCTCTCAGTCTCTCTCTCTGGATGTCTTGCTTGTTGATCTCAAGCGGAATGGTCTAGACCTCCTCGGCTCCTCCGCCTCTCTCGCGACAGACACAGAGCAATCAAGCAGCGCAATGGCGACGCAGCTACGCAAGCGAGAGCGAGTCTCTGGTGAGCCGGCGGAGGAGGGAGGGGTAATATAGGCGGTGGCCGGTGGGTGCTGGTGGTTCAAGCGCAAGCGCAACAGCGACACCACACCAGCGCGCGAGCTCAAGTGGAGTCCAGTCCACACCTCCAGCGGCGTGGCGGTGCCGTACTGGTGTGACGGGAGGGGCCCGCGTTAGGTGCCCGAGTGCTGCATGACTCGTGGGGCCGAGGCGGAACCGGGCACGGATGTCAGTGGGACGTGGGTGCGCGGTCACTGGTAAGGGAGGTGGCGGGATGGTTGGGAGGGTTACGTGTCACCAACTGCCCAGTGCGCGGGAAACGCGTCGGTCGAAAGTGGCGGAATGGTCTAGACCTCCGCCGAGGATTCTATGTGCATCGCTTCGCAGGGTGTCTTTACATTGCACTATTTCAATTGTGTATATAAAATTTTTGTAGAAATCAGTTTATTTTATAGAAAAACAGGAAAAATATGCATTTTAAATGAAGAGGTCTGACCTTTTGTCCAAAAAAATGGAGTCTTACTGTACCTCTAAAGAGACGTTTAGAGGAGCTGGTATGGTATGGACGCATGGTAGTCTCTACCTACTTCTCTTAAATTCGTCTTGGAGGAGCTCAGGGCGTGTTTGGTATGGTATGCATTTTGTTCAGATTTGACAAATGGTAGTCTCTACCTACTTCTCTTAAATTCGTCTTGGATTTCTCGCCAATAGTAATGTAATACTGACTTTATGTGCCGCAAGATTTACTCAGTAGGGACATACGGAGCCTCATAACATAAAAAAACTTATGCAAGCCTAATGCACACGTATCTTATTTGAAGTTACCTAGCTGTATGTATAAGAATAATCCCAAAAATACACAAGTAAATAAGTGCAGTGGAAGCTCTACAGATTTTCAATAATCAAACAGAGGCTAAGTTTTCAGGCAATGTCAAATTTGGAAAAATAAAAATAAAAGCTCGGTGACACGACTTGCAAGTATCTGAAAACGGAGGGAATAGTATCAGTATAATCCAACACGATCCCATTGGTGTGGTCGTTCAGATGCAGCCTACAATTTACTTAATTTAAACCTGGTTAACGATTTTTGTTCTCGATAAACTCTAATCGAAGCGGATCCCAGCTAATTGATTAGTGGCCATGGTTGAAATGCAGCCTCAAACATTGATTAGTCTCTGGAGAAGCCATGGATGGATGGATAGGCTAGAAAATGGTACGGTCTCGAGCAGAGCAGACGAGCATATCGCTTCGGTACGTGGGCTCCACCTCGCGCACCGGCAGACCAGGTTGTGGCTGGGGGCGCGACACGTGGAGCCTGCCGGTTGCTTTACAGCCAAAAGGTTTGCGCCAGCGTGGCACGGTCGTGTCTCCGTGGCACTGTATGTGTCTGTTCTCGGCTTCTCGCAGGTCCTGCAGGTCAGAAATTTCTGGCGCGCATCCGCGTCTGGCACTTCCACCCAGCCACCACCGCGCATAGCTCGCTGACTCGCTATGCCATCGCAAGCCGCAATGTGGGCCGGCCCACCGGGCCCATGGCCCGCAAATGTTTTCGCTTTTCTCGGGGCACAACCTGAGTTGGCCTGGAGGAATGGAAATTTACAACACAGAAAGCAAGGATTTCAGGCTCACAGAAAGGATTTAACTCAATCTTTTTTCACCTACTAGACGAACTACTAGCACGGTTCAATAAAATTTATCACACAGGCAACACCAAGGTTTTTGCTGTATCTTGCCCTCGAAGGATCAAAACACAGTTGTGTCAAATTGCCAGTTAGCCAACAGCTAGAACAATCGCCTCCAGTTCAGGGCAACTGAAATGACCTAGCATCGTGAGTCTCCTCTTGTGCCTTCAGAAGAGCCCTCCTTTCTACCGCAAACCTTTGCAGATCATGTAGATCTCCCTCGAGCTAGGCCGAGTCGCCTTGGGTCTCAACAAGGATACTTCTTGAACTTCACCTTGCAGAATTTGCCAAACCCTGCGCCACGCAATGGTAGACAGTCGGGGTCAGTTTTAGCTGGGCCAAATTGTCACTGTCAGATGAAACAGTACAATTAATTTAAGCTTTAGTGGAAGAGCAGCACTTCTAAGATCAGATAATGGCCAGAACTTATAATGACCTGATATGTCCTCATTCTCCAGGAACTTCATTACTAGGTTGCCTCCACGACGAAGAACACCATCCTCATCAGGATCGGGCTCGGTGGAGCTCAGATACTTCTCTAGTGTCTCACTGTAATCAGACTCTTTTAACTTTATCTTCCCTACTGCCAGCGAGAGAGCACGCATGCCCAACTCACAAGATATAGCTCCATCTTTGGTTGTGATCCCTGAAACTGGTGGACACGTCTGACAGTATCACAGAGAATCCTCGTTCCTGTACACGAGGATAAAACATTAAAATTCATTAATCAAACTATAGCTAGCACTGATTACAAGATCACACAGATACTATAACTGAAATCCTTGCTTTGGTCTTTCTAACCATATTTAACAAGCTAGAAATGGTTTTTCAATCGATGAATCCTCCTAAGATTAGTATTGGAGGGAAGGAAGGACGGAGGGATGGCTTAACATAACTCACAAACATAGGGCAGAGTGTTGAACAAAATAAGTGAGCACAACTTCTCCGGAGTGACAATGCTCTCAATTTACAACAACAACATAGCCTTTTAGTCCCAAACAAGTTGGGGTAGGCTAGAGTTGAAACCCACCAAGAGCCCCAAGTCACGGTTTAGGCACTTCAATAGCTGTTTTCCAAGTACTCCTATTCAAACATAGATCTCTAGGTATATCCCAAGCTTTCAAATCTCTTTTTATTGCCTCCCCCATGTTAATTTCGGTCTTCCTCTACCTCTCCTCATATTATTAGCTTGGCTTAGGACTCCATAATACACTGATGCCTCTGGAGGTCTCCTTTGGACATGGCCAAACCACCTCAACCGATGTTGGACAAGCTTTTCTTCAATTGGTGCTACCTCTAGGCGATCATGTATATCATCGTTCCGAACTCGGTACATTCTTGTGTGACCGCAACATACGCATTTCTGCAACACTCAGTTGTTGAACATGTCGAATCTTTGTAGGCAAACATTCTGCTCCATACAACATAGCCGGTCTAATCACCGTTCTATAGAACTTGCCTTTTAGCTTTTGTGGTACCCTCTTATCACAGAGAATGCTAGTCTCAATTTAATAAGTGACAATCATGATTTTCATTTCACCAATAAAGGCTGAATAGATGCATGGTTTCATATAGAATCACAGTTAGCTCTATGTAATAGTCAGTTATTTAGTATTCAGACTATTACATCTCTAGTTCCTACTCACTATAATAAATTGCCTCCGAGTCTTTTTGAAAATTGAAAATATAGGAATTCTTACCTTTCCATCTATCCATCTAATCTAAGAACTAGCTTCCCAAGTTATACAAACAAAACAAGTAGTTAGGCCAAATATGAGATTCAGTAAAATCCAAAGTCCAAACCTAACTGAGCAATATGCCACACTATTCATTGTGTCGCAATCATCACATCCAAGCATAAGTATTCAATCACGCCACAAGCAATCAAGGATTCGAACCTGTGGCGACATCGCCCGAGCCTGCTGCTTCATCAGAGTCATGACATCTGCACGGACCGTCCTGACCCGTGAGTCACAGTGCGCAGAGGGGACCTTCACCTTCTGCTCTGCAACAACCGAATTACTGAATCAGACAAACCACCAATTCAGCAACAATCATCGCACCGACCAAGGACAATTCGACTGTCAAGTGCCAACTGACCTTAACATCGACGCCGAAAACAACGCCACCCTTTTCGAGGGGGCCCAGGTTCTGACAGGCCACCAGCAAGGCTGCAAGCGGCCGCCCCACCGAGCAAGTCAATCACAGACATGTGGAAATGAGGACTGATCGCGTACTCAGGAACTCGAGGAGACGAGGAAGAGTAATGGAAGCTCACCTGGAGCCACGAGCCGGGGGCGCAGCCTAGGTCGAGCATGGCGGCGCCCGGCGCGATGAGCTTGTGCTGCTTCTGCATCTGGATCAGCTGCAGCGGCGAAGCAACCGCTCAGAGTCATGAAAGGGGAAGAGATAGCAACAGCCAACAGCCCAACAGGGACTCAGGGTGGAAGCGGGGGCTCACCTTAAACACGGAGCGAGCGACGTAGCCCAGCCGTTGTGAGTCGCGGTAGAAGAAGTCGGCGGTGCCCCCCGCGGCACGCCTGCCTCGTCCGACGGCGACGGGAGGCGATTGCTAGGGTTTTAGCCCTCTTTCCTTTTCCTCCTCTGGTGACGATGCGCGGAGTTTAGGCCGTTCTATTGAGAGCGCGGGCCTTGAATGGGCTGGGCTGGGCTGGTTCGTGTGGGCCTACTGCGACATGGGTGACGTGGGCGCCCTCCGCGCCACGCGCCCTCCACTTGGCTTTGGGGCGAGTCTGATCGGCACGACCTTCTAGACGGTTCTCCAACCCACCTCCGCGGCCCGAGGCTATCTACACCACCGACCGAGAGGGGGAGTCCAGCACGAATCGAATCGTCGCGAGAAGTCATGGCGGATTCGGCCGCTTCCCGTCCAACCGTCCTCGTCACCGGCGCCGGGGGCCGCACAGGTAGCTCTGCTTTCCCCGTCAGTTCCAGTAGCGCAGCATTTAGGCCTCGCAGTCGTCGCGCGTGCTTCAGTACTGCTTCGTAGGGAAGTGAAAAACCAGAGAGATGATGATCAGTCGATTTGCCTGTTGTTCAAGGCTGCTGAGATGGGGAATTTGGCTGGCTAGAGTGGTTAGGGAATGGTGATCCAAATGGGAACGGCCTTGGATTTTAGTTTTTTTTGCTCAATTTGGCTACCGTCTTGTACAGTTTAGTGCTGAATTGTAACGCTAGTAAGGGTGCAGTAGGTGCGTAGCAATTTCTGCAACTGTGTTTCTCTTTGCATTCACTGCTCACGCGGGAGTCAACTTGATGTTAGGCCAAATTGTCTACAACAAACTGAAAGAGAGGTCCGAGCAGTTCGTGGCAAGAGGGCTAGTCAGGACAGAGGAGAGCAAGCAGAAGATTGGGGGAGCCGGCGATGTTTACATTGCCGACATAAGAGATGCAGATCGTCTAGCACCTGCTGTACAAGGGATCGATGCGCTCATAATCCTCACCAGTGCAGCCCCGAAAATGAAACCGGGTTTCGATCCTAGCAAAGGTGGGCGGCCTGAGTTCTACTATGAAGATGGAATGTACCCTGAGCAGGTGGGTTGATGAATCTTGTCCAAGATTGTATGCACATTAGTAGAATTTGTTATTGAACAGTTTAATTTGTGATAACATTGGTTGTGGCTGTTTTAGGTGGATTGGGTTGGCCAAAAGAATCAGATTGATGCTGGTATGTATTCATTCTGCTCAGTGCATCACTTTCTAATTTTTTAGTAGATCATATACTTCAGAGCATAAATGATTGTTAATTTGGACATATATTGGCAGCTAAAGCTGCTGGAGTGAAGCATATTGTGTTGGTGGGATCTATGGGAGGAACAAATCCTAACCATCCGCTGAACAGCCTGGGTCATGGCAATATACTGGTAAGCTAAAATCTGACTGTTCCATTAGGCAACTACTATTCACAAAATGTAAAAGTGGGATCTTGATTATTGCATATGTTTGCTGTAGGTATGGAAGCGCAAGGCAGAACAGTATTTGGCAGACAGTGGAGTCCCTTATACAATCATAAGGTACAGAGTAGTATAGTACACAATATTTAGAACAGATGGAAAATTCTACTTCTGCTTTTTGTTATGGTAGTCTCGATTCAGTAGATTACTACTCTTTGTTTTGTGCATGTAAAGAAGTAAAGAGATATTTAGGACTCTTAAGGGACAATGTGCTGATCCTTGTTTTTGGACAACTGAAAAAATACTTTGTGTACTATCTAGTACATCTCTCGTGTAAAGCCTGGAAATCGCATGAGGCTAATACAAAAGCAAATATTCAATCTCATTTCCTTCTCTGTTACATAATCTGATGCTGCTTTCTTCTGTGCCTTAAATTTTAGGCCAGGAGGTCTACAAGACAAGGATGGAGGAGTGAGAGAGTTAATTGTGGGGAAAGACGATGAACTTCTCCAGACTGACACAAAGTCGATTCCTAGAGCCGATGTGGCTGAGGTTTGTGTCCAGGTATATATATATGCTCTAAAGTCTAAACCACCATCTATACAGATCTGTCTGAAAGGACCTGGTTAAAATTGTGTATAGCCATGGGTCCATTGGACAGCGTGGTGAGACAGCCATTCTGAGTTTAATCATTTTTCTTCTCTGATAATAGGCTCTGCAGTATGAAGAGGCCAAGTTCAAGGCATTTGATTTGGCCTCGAAGCCTGAAGGTGTGGGCACGCCAACAAAGGACTTTCGGGCGCTGTTCTCCCAGATTACTGCTCGGTTTTGAGTGAGCTGCTGAGAAGCCTACTGCAAGCTCTAGATTTCATGGTGTCTGGAGATATAATCAGGTAGCTTGAGCATGGAGATGCAGTTTGGTGCAATTGCAAAGCTGTATTAAAACTGAAGAAAGAAATCGGTGCATTGTTTGCAGTACACTGCTGAATGTCTAGTTGCCATTGTGTAAACTGTTAAGAGCCAATATGACAGTAATTAGGAACCCCTATTTGCATAAATTGTTAATTTATAGCCAAAAGCTCAACCAAAGGGCTGCTTTTGATGATAGTCCCTTTTTAAATGAATTCATTTTTGAAAATAAATTGAAATTGGTGGAATAAAAAGGGCACAAGGTATATTTTATACTTGTTTAACCAAACAAATTTCCTACGATTCCAGCACAGTTAGTCACCTGACTTTTTTGGATTCTTCAGCTGCAACTAGTCACCTGTCGTTCTTCAGCAACTTCCCCGTCGTTCCAGTGACATCCTAGCGGTGAAAGCTGCAGCCATCCTGCTTGTTCTCTGAACAAGGCAGATATAGCAGCTTCATCAGAACCCCATGGCCATGGGAGTGCTGCTGCTGACGACTATCACCTCAATGTTTTTAACTCAATTGAAGCGATGATTTCAAACATTGAAACCATGAAGTGAAACTTCGTGGTGCTACTGCCTACCGGTTCAACAAAACAAAATCAGCGTACTGTTACCCTATTACACAAATATGTCAGGCATATACATATACCTAGAAGTTATATTTATTCCAGTCAAATCGAACTTTAACATCTTTACTCCCGGAGAAGGGTCAAAATTCATCAACATAACATCACAGAAGATTAATTGGAAAAACAGTTTACAGATTTGTAAAAGGTATCAGCTGAGCCTCAACATCTTTTACTCAAGAGATGGTAGCAAACAATGAAATGATACCAAAAAAAAAAGTGCTATTGTCTTCTATCCTATGATATAGGGACAAAGAGAAACCTCTTACACTATTACGCAAATATGTCAGGCACACAGACAAAAATCTTTTATGGCAGTCAATTCAAACTTAGAAAATTTTGGTTCCTAGACGAGGGATAGATTCATTAACATAATCATAATACAACAAAATGAAATGGTGAAAAATCAAGAAATTAATGGAAGATGTCAGCTAAGCTCACTAGGATTTACAAGTCTAGCTACTCCATGCTGAAAGAGCATATATGACACGACCCTTCCAACCTTGTAGCATCCACTTGTTATCTTCGTCCACGAGGAAATCCCTCGGATAGGTCTTGCTAAGCTTGTACCTTGCTCTCTTCATTATCTCTCTGTCCAGAGGTAGCTGCCGGAAGCCTGCCCTGAGATTTCTCATCTGCCATTGTTTGTAGGTCTCTGGCCTTTCAATCCTCTCTGTACCCTCACAAGCAATCACATTAACAGCTTCCCGTCCAAAGAATTCTCTTTCTATCAGCAGCCTATGTTCATCCATCCGTGAGGCATTTGCTTCAAGCATATCAAAGATTGAAGAGAAGAAAAACATAGCCTCCTTAAACCGTGTCACAAAGAAGGGTGCATTGTAAGTACCGTTGACAATCCCATGAACGAACAAATTGGGATTCAACTTTCTGATTGTGTTCAAAACCCTTGTTCTCGGGCTGTCATCTGTTGCCGTCTCGTCCATCATGTTCCTCATTCGGTAAAGGCAGTTAACGACAATGAACTCATCGCTCTTTATATTGAGATCTTTAACTTGGATAGTATCCCACTTGGCAGCAATGGCTTGATATTCAAATGGAACATTGAACATACGGGCATACTCATGTAACCGTCGCCCTGTCGCCTCAACACGCTCTGCAGGGCGGAATCCTGACAGGGGAAAGTCTATACCAGTGATTCGAAGGATTGGGGGGCCACCAGATCTCTTTGAGAGGTGCTGCATGAGGATTGGCCACTGGAAACCATACATTATCCCGAATTCTATAATGTGCAACCTTGTCACACTCTTTGTAGCATTTAAGATGGTCATATTTGCAACATAGTGCGATATTATCCTAAATGGACATGCTTTAACATATAAATTGAACGCTTTCAGCATATCACCAGTAGAAGTTCTCTTTGCAGCAAGTGAACGGTAGATGCTGCTACCAGTGCCAGCTAGGCGAGCCTTGAGCCCGTCAGCAAAGTAGTGCGCCAATCTCTGGCCAGCATCTCCAGTAGCAGAAGAATGCTTCCTAATCTGTTTCAGCAGCTCACTTGAGTTTCTGTGGTCATCAATAGCTGCAGCCTGAGCACAATGGATAAGTAGGGTTGTGAGATCGACTGGCTCCTGCTCTGCACCAGCACCGGATCTTCCCTTCCTTCGCCCTCTTCTATTTCCAGATCCTTTCACATATCCCCCGCTGATTTGTGCATCGGCTGGCATTGGTGTGTGGAACGCACAATTCTTATCGGTACACAACAGCACTTTGTCAAACATCTCTCGGACAGTCTCCTCATCACACAATGCGGACTGTTTGCTCTTCCTCCCCTCCACCTCCAAGTCATCGTCACGTGGGTTCTTCTGACCCTTATGAACAGCACCAACTACATCCCCCTGAACCGTTTCACGAGGCAATTGGGTAGAGTCCAGACTACTTGTGACCACATCATGAAATCTTCCGCTTCCCGTGGAATCGCAATCATCAGTGATCCAAGATTTTACTTCATAGGCCTGTGCTGTGATAGGCTTAGCAGACTTGAGGATGTCGACGAATGGTTTCTCGACAGCGGCGAGGAGTGCTGAATCCTCCACTGGCGCACTGGTAACAGGATATGACTCCTCATCCTCATCTTCAAGAAGGAACTGGTTGATGTAAGCAAGGATTGCATCATCAGCAACAGCCTCAGAGAAATCCTCGGCGTTGTTTGGCTCGGTTGTGGTTGTTGATGCCGGGCTTGGCGTGGTGCAGCCAGGCATGACCGAGGGTGGAGATGGATGTGAGCTGACAGGAGGGTTGTTGTGGTTGTGGCTGTGGAATCCATATGAAGGGAAGAACTGAAGCTGTGGCTGTTGGAGGGAGAAGCTAATCATGTGAGGTGTGGGTGGATTTGGGGTGGGCAATCGAGCACCAAAGTTGATATTATCACGAGGACGAGGGTCCATTATCATTCCTTGGAGCTTCCCACAAGATTTTTCTGACTTTCGCTCCAGTTCCACAAGTCACTTACAGGTTCACAAATCTCACCTCTACGCTACCTTTCTGTTCTTTTTTTCCTCAAGAATACAAGGATTCCGCCTAGAGAGAACTACAAATGGGAAGAAAAGCTGATGATGGAACGATGTATTAGCAGCATATCATGTACTTCGCCGACAAGCATATATCCATGTTAAGAAGGGAGACGATATTTACCCTGCAAATCGATGGAAGAGTAAACAGAACTTCTCTGCGCCAAGATCTGCGAAGACTGCACAAGAACTTGTCTGCACCAAGATCTCTGATCTCCGTCCGTACCCTGCACAAAGACTGGGAAGACGGCAAGAAGACTCGGCTTCCCTAGTCGCGGCTAAGAAGACGCGGTGCCCTCCATCCCAAGTCTTGGATGCTGATGCGCGGAACGTTGAAGAAACTAGGATGAAAGCGGCGCCGATTGGGGGAGCAGCGGCAGCAAGAGTCCAAGAGCAAAAGAGTTCTCTCTAGCTGGGCCAGGACCGCGGCAGCGCGGCTCTCTTTGTCAACTGGGGCATTTGTTTACCCTAAACTGCAGCACCAGCCAATCAGCGACCGGGTCACTGTTTGGTAATCGAGCTGGAGGGGAGCGGGAGCAGGGGGCGCACCTCGGTGACGCGTGGGGAACGGCGCGGGATTCTCTGCGGAATGGTTTGCCGCCTGCTGCAGCCTGCAAGGAGCCAAGGACGACGGACAAGAGCCATCTTCACCTCTACTACTCCTAGTTGATTTTTGGCTCTACGATTACGATGTGATACTGACTCGATGTGAGTCGCGTCGCATCGATCATGACAGTTTCCAGTTGGGGCCACGGCACAAAGAATCGGGGGAACAGCCAAAACACCAATCAGTGGTGAGTGGTGTGAACTGTGAAGTCGACGGGATGCGACCCGAGAAGTTGACCACAGAACCAGGTGAGCGTGATCCACGGCCGAAGCTCGCAAAGCTCCGGTCCGCCCGATGTTGGGTCTTTTGGCCCACGAAACAAAGTGGAGAGGAGCCCACCACAAGAGGTCCATGGACTCATGACCCCATTGGATCGGTCGCTTGCAGCAAGCTAGTACACGTGAGGCGCTTTGCTTCACTCTTGTCAAAAGAAGAAGATATTTACCTTAATATGGCCTTCAAAAAAATGTGTCTTCCTTCTATGGCCTTTTTTTCTTGAACTTACCCGTATGGCCCGAAAACAAAAATTCCTTCCTTCTATGGCCTTCCGTCAAGTCTGTTAGGGTCTTCTGTTAGTTTTCCCACTAGTAGACACGTGAAATGACTAAAATGCCCTTCTGCTTATTTTGATCTCTTTCTCTGTGAATAAATAAGAGTAAGGTATGCTCTTATTTTCTAAGAGTAAGGTATCCTCGAGGTGGAAGAGGCCTCGGCCAAGGGTGGGAGGTGGGCCGGCCGGCCATGGATCCGGCAGCGGCCCCTGGGCGGAGATCCCGTCGGCGCCCTCCTCCATACTCGCTCGCTCGGTGTTCCCCCCCCCCCCCCGCTTGTGCTACGGTAGAAACAAAGAAATAGATCAAAATAAGCAGAAGGGCATTTTAATCATTTTCGCGTGTCTACTAGTTTTTTTGTCTACTAGTGGGAAAACTAACAGAAGACCCTAACAGACATGACGGAAGGCCATAAAAGGAATAGATTTTCGTCTTCGGGCCATACAGGTAAGTTCAAAAAAAAATGAGGCCATAGAAGGAAGACACATTTTTTTAAAGGCCATACAGGTAAATATTTCAAAAAAAAAAGTTGCTTCACCGCAAGCTACATCTTCCAAAGAAGACCTAATCACCTAATGACCATAGTGTTTGCGGCAACATACAGGGTTGTTTGGCTCCCATCCAAACTTTGCCTCATCATGCATGTTGCTGCCATAAAAAGTTAGTTGTTGTTTGGTTGACGTATCAGTTATGGTAGCCACACATTTTTCTAAGGGGGTGTTTGGTTGACGGCCACTGGCCGCCACGCAGCTCGCCACAAGAATCTCCACGCTTGTTTGGTTGGTGACTCGAATAGCCTCTTAGTTCTTTCTGTGCTTATCAGTGCGTGGCGGCCTTTTTCTTTGTTATAACTCTTCGGCGGCGCCACAGGTTGGGTCACTGGCATTGTCCGGGAACCAAACAGCCTCATAATTTTCTATATTCTTCCCATAGATTACACAAATAACTCTCGGATCGCGCCACTACGCCATGAACCTTGATCTTCAAAAAAGCTTGAGGAGCTATCCATTTGGGAGTAGTCGAGTAGATCACTTGTTCCTTGTTGACTTTGTTTCAAAATCTTCAGTTAACCCAGATAGTTTCAGACCATGAAATAAAACCAAATGTCAGGATAACAGACTTTGAAATATATCCTCATGTAACGTCTCCTTTCGTGCTCCCCTGAAGGCCTCACACATGATTAGAGCTTTCTAACACTCCTTTGCAGATAACATTTATTGCATAAAACACAAAACCATATCTCTTCATAATAGCTATAGATTGTTTGAAAGTCATTATGAATCTACGAAAGGAAAACTTGAGTGCTTATTCGTAGATCTTGAAGAAATTAAAGCTAAGAGCACTTTTGTTTCAGGAAGTTGTTATTAAACACGAGGGTAGAGACTCAAATAGCGAGGCACATTATCTTGCTAAAAAGTGTTTGCAATTTAGCTCAGAGAAATACTGTGGCTCCTTGGGCGTCTAGAAAGTCTATATATACCTCAAAGCATTTGTGAATAAATAAGAGCATACCTTACTCTTAGAAAAAAGGGTTATTTTGATTGGTACCATTACAATTTTCAAAGTTTTGAGAACTACCATTACTATTCACCTATTTTGAGATGAGTCATTACAATTCTTCAACGCTCTGAAATATACCATTATATACGCTTTGGATGTTGTTGGGCCCATATGTGAAACGACCTGATTTCCGTGAAGGGAAATCCACATAGTCGAAGTGTATTATGACCGTTGTAGATCATATTACCCAAATTCCAGTCGAATACCACATCCATACAACGATAATATCAGAGTACAAATAGTGTGGAATTACATAAATTATTACATCGCCGCATTGGCAAAATCAAAAGTAGCATTCATTCAGAACAGCTTGAAGATAAGATCGCCAAACTCGAGCATAGAAACGAACCCCTCAACCATCAAACTCCTCAGAGCTATACTCCTCAGCAGAACCTGTGTGCCAAAATTTATCAGTACGATTTGTACTGGCCACTCCCACCCTATGAGCATTGCTTTGTGGAAATTGGATGCAAGTTGGAGATAATCAAAAGGAACCTATAAGGCTGGGGTTTCCTAAGTATTAGCATATCAAGTATATAATGATAGTTGGTCAAGTTTTATCACCATTCCCACACCCATTCCACCCCATTTCTGTCCAGAGCCAGGTTTCGATCCTGGGATCGATATACCACCATCTCCACATTATCACCACATCACCACCATACCATCGCTCAGTCGAGAGGCCAACTCCCTCTCGGCACTATCTCATGGCCCGTAGCCCCTGTCTATGACCGACACTCTCTCACGGGGAAGAAGATGACTCATCTCACTATCTAGTTTAAGCGAAACCCAGGAAAGGTCCATAGCCGATAAGTCGGCATATGTATCGATCGATCAACCATACACTCTGCAGAGGTTTTACATAACCACAAGATCCGCCTTCCTCCTCGACGACCGTCATCAATCTGGTGATTAGGCCACTTGCTAGCCTAGGATAATGCCACTCTACCATTCAGCCCTGGTACACCCCAAGTCTAGTCTGGGGTGGCTAAAACTGTGAGTCATGAGCTGGGTCCACAAGGTCTCCATGAAGTCTCGGAAGGGTGTGGGGGAATCCTCCGCGCCCCGTACCTCCTTGCACTATCCGCTATCAACCTAGCAGTAGTGGTAATATCCTACCAAGTAGTTCGGCCGTCCCGCACCATATAGGGCGAGTGGTACGTAAGGCTTCCCGGTGAATCTGAGTACTAGTAAGTCCTTAGGGATGACCAAGCCAGAATGTCTTCATCAGGGTTTCCATTTACCGTGCCACCACAGCACCTCTACCCTAGGCTCCTCCCATCACAGGTTCACACCCAGGGCCACCTCATATACCATTTACCCACCACAGGTATCCATTTCCTGGGGTGCCCAGGTAGCACCCCGCGACAAGACTTGCCCCAGGCTCGTCGTATACTCCAACTTGGTCGACACAACCCTCACCCTCCACACACCCAAGTCACACACGCAGCAATCTCCCAAAGTCCAGATAACTCCAGTTTCCACCACGCATCAATTTAGTATATATAAGCGTAGTAGAAATAATAAGCAGTGAAATATAGGAGCGAGCGTGTGTCTAGCCTAACAGCAGGGTGAGTAGGGGTAAGGTTGCGTCAAGGTAAAGGCCATCAAGAAAGCATACTACCATGCAAGTCCTATCATAGTGTGATTATAACAATAAAGTAAAGCAATAGCAGTTCTATATTAGCCATGCGTAATAGGTGCTACGAGGTTTGGTGGGATGTGGCACCTTTAGTGAAGTCGTCTCCGTACTCCTCACGGTACTCTCGGTCCTCGTTTGTCTGGTTCTCCTCCGAGTCTAAAAACGGTCGCATTATAGTCGCGTTAGCGACGTCTATAGAATAGCACAAAGAAGCAATAAAAATTCAAAAGAGCCAGATGCACTCAAACATGGGTTCATTGCGTAGAGCTCGATTTTAGATGAATTTTGGTCCTAGTCTTGTATTTTTCTGAGTTCGTATGAATTAGTTATGAATTTCCGAAGTTTAAATCATTTCTGAAAAAGGGAAAAGGCTGAATTAATATCATGGTGACACGTGTCACGCTCCTGTTGGTCCACGTGGCATGCTGACATCAGTATAGCATGACGTCATCAGAGCTAAACCTCGGCTGATAGGTGGGTCCCGTGGACGTCAGCATGACGTCATCATCTCGGTTGGTCACTG